CTTATTTCTTTTTCAGCAATCTCTTTGCTGGTGTAGAGGAATCCAACTGATTTTTGGATGTTGATCTTATATCCTGCGATGTTGCTAAATCTCTCAATTAGTTCTAGTTTTTTTTTTTTTTAATTTTGTATTGTATTCATTTCAGTCAGGTATTTACAGATATTTCCAAATGTAAAAGCACAATGGGCTCCTCTGCTTTTTATCAGCTACTCCCAGCTTCTGGTAGTGTTATGTTAGACAGTCCCAATGCCAGATCTAGGACATGTTTTGTTTGCCAAGCAACATTTACTAGAAGCTTGATTTCTCTGTATGGTCCATATGACCTTATCCACTTACATTTACATAGCATCATAGAGGTTTGTCAAAGATGCCATTATTTCCATTTGGCTGATTGAGAATCAAAAATGTAATAAGGCTTGGTTGTGGCCTGGCCAGTTTACTTGGACAGTGTTGAGCCAATTTTTTGCTTGCTTTACAGTTCATTTTCCCCTCATTTATTTTATCTTACTCTCTATAATTAATTAATTAATGTCAGTATTATTGAAGAGAGCTTTCACAATGAGCATTGAGTAGGTGAAGAATAAGCAGTATGATTTTGAATTCTTTCCTTTCATCCTAAGGATTTTGTGCTATAAAATATTATTAACAGTTTTATCCTTCCTCAACTGTAAAGTCAGAATGTCTTGGGTAAAACATAGATCCAGAAAATGGTAGGTAGAAAATGACCTTGGAATATATTAAAGCTGGCAAAGCAACTAAGTGTCCCTATTTTTTATTTTACTGAAGTTTGATGTGCATACTGTTCTTTTTGCCAAAGGCATGGAACATTGGAGCTATTCTGCAAATTAGTTCTGGAAACTATTTAGTGTATAAAACTTGTTGTTGTTGTTGTTATTTGCCATAGAGTCAGACCCAATTCATAGTGACCCCTCCTTGGGTTTCCAAGGTGGTATCACTACAGAAGTAGATTGCCCAACCTTCCTTCCGAAGCGTGGCTGGTAGGATTGAACTGCTAGCTTTCTGGTTAGCAGTCAGGTGCCTTAGGCACTACGCTACCAGAGCTCCTAGTGTATAAAACTGGGACTGTAAAATTCTAAAAGAACGGTTACTTATAGAAGGGGTTTTAACCAAGTATTATTATGACTTAATAAAATCATAGTGTTTATGTTTCATTTGTTTTGCAAAATTGGTATTCTTTGCAGGACACTTGCAATGGTGTTTATAAGGACCAATCAGAGAAGAATAGAAACCAATTAGAGGGGAACCTGCATCAATTGGAAGGAGATCAAGACAAATCAGAAGGATCTGAAAGTCAAGCTATAGAAAACCAACACCACTTAGAGAGATCTGGAGACCACTCAGAAAGATCTCGAAGCCAATCAGTGAGATCTCTTAGTCCACCTGAAAGATCTTGTGATGAGTCAGAGAGTTCTTATAGCAAATCAGAGAGATCTCGTGAATGGAGGAGATCCCGTGAATGGAGGAGATCCTGCGGCCATTCAGAGAAATCTCCTGACCACTCAGAGAGATCTCATAGCAAATCAGAGGGGTCTCATGCTGGATCAGTGAGATCTCATGGCTACTCAGAAGGATCTCATGGCCATTCAGAAAAATCTCATGGCCACTCAGGGAGCTCTCATAACCACTCAGAGAGCTCTCATAACCACCCAGAGAGCTCTCGTGGCCACTCAGAGAGATCTCATGGCCACTCAGAGAGCTCTCGTAACCACTCAGAGAGCTCTTATAATGACCCAGAGAGCTCTCATAGCCACTCAGAG